AACAATATGGGTGTCCTGTTAAGCATGTCACGACAGCTCGGTAGGTAGTAGCCGCCACCGCATTGGTTGAATGTGAATGCAGAATATCGCACCGTGCGCCATTGTCAGCATTTCACCGCTGTCCGGTGGGGTTCAGTTTACATGCCAGCTTTCGGCGCCTGCGGCGAGGAGTAAACAACTCACCCACCCATACACGGTGTCGTGTCGGGCCGATACACAGCTCTCAGCTGATGAACGCCCTCCTATCTGTTCACCGCTCATTAGTCGAGCGCTATTTACTGGCTCTGACTGTATGCACTGACCGTGTGCACTGTACCGAGCCGGTGCCGATGGGGCTGTCTCCTTCACGTCAAGGTCACTTTCGTTACCTTCGTGACCTCACCTATAGACTGACACGGTGAGGATTTTGATGATGATGATTGTGATGCCGCAAAGTATCGTCCTGGCGTTGCGACCTCTCCCGCGTCCCCCGCCTACCTGCCTACCTGTCCTCGGTCCACCGACCGCATCCATCACTGCAAACACTCCGGGTGGTCGAAATCTCGCCGAGCGTATGAGCAATGAGCGCATCAATCAGCCGCTGCTATTTACTGGGGGATGTGCCGGGGGAGGCGCCCATGCGCGCCGTCCGCCAGCGCGGGGAGCCCGAATTACCCACCACTCTGCGGCACACACAGGCACTAATGAGGACGCTACCAACGCAGCCAAACAGGCCCATTAATTGATCATTTTGCCAGAGTCAAATTAATTCGGCGTCGGTGATGGGGGCAGGGCATTGGAGCGGCACGCAGCTTCCGTTAGTGAGCGGGGAAGGTGGCGGTGGAATTTGCTGCAGCCATCGGCCGCGTTTGCCGCGACTGTCCGTGCTGTGTATCGGAACTGACGTTGTCTTGCTGGCAAGACGACGACCTCGCTCGCGGCGCTGCGCGGCACGCGTCGGGACGAACCCGATCGACTGCCGGCCCTCCGTGGTCATCATGAGGACGGCCACGGAGGGCGGCAGTCGAGGCGCCGCCGAAAACAACGGCCGCATCCTGCGAGCGGCGAGTGCAAAACAGTGGCGGTGGTGACCGGATATCCGCCGGCCGGCCGGGGCGCCGCGGGAAAACGGTCTGCAAGGGACCGACTGGAGAGGGCAGTGCACTGACGTCCGACGCTCGCCGGCGGTCACTGAACAGCGGCACTCTGTTGTGGGTTACAGGTTGTAGTGTGACACCTATTGGTGACACTCACCAGCTCTATGACGCGGGCTAGAACTCAGCAGTAATGGATGTGATGCTGTATAGCCACCGGCGGAGTCAGACGACAGCAGAGCTCATTTGGAAATTACGGTGGAACCCACTGGCATTTGTTGAAATGGACATTAAACGCGATTTACCCCTGCTTATTTTGATGCTGAAAAAGGCAATGAAACATAATGATGTTGCGCTATGACCTCATGGTCGCCTTTTTACACATCTCGTGAACGCGCCAAGCCACCTCGTCACAGGCTAGAGCGCACCGGTGCGTGGACGGACATTATTTTAATTTCACGCTATATGATCTGCACTGGGCGCACGTTTCCGCTGACGGGTCACTGTCTGCACGCGAGGTGGCACTACCACCACCGCTTCCGGTCCTGCCTTCCTGGCCGCCGAACTGAGAGAACAACCGGCAGAAAAAGTGCGCCACTCAGCCAGAAAAAGCGCACTGAAAAAGTTTAAACCGCGGTAGCACGACGCACCACTATAATCCAGACCACGTTTGACGCCGTTTGATTCGGTTACTTTGTTTTTTGGGTTATTGAATGTCGGTGTTGTTCGACTATAGACGGGCGGATAAAAACTCTAGTGGGCTAGACAATGTAATTACCTGAAGGTCGTGGTCGATTGGGGTCAAATCATGAGTCAGTGGATTCATGGACATCTTCCCTACCGCTCCTCTCGATGTCGATGACAGAATAGCATAGGAACTGGGTGATCCCATGCAGTCAACTGAGTGAATGACTGCCGCAACAAAATAAAGGACTATGCCTATAGGATGCTAAAATAAGTGTGCCTAATTGCGATGCAGGATGCATCCCTATTGAATCCATATTGAGATTACGATGTTCCCTTTACCTCTTAATAAGGAATATTCGCTCATAAAACGCACGTGGTAAAAAGACCATTCTGCAATATTATGACAAACAAGATCCAAGGACAAGATCGACGTACTTTCAGACAAGGCCCTAAAACAACAAGGCCCTAAAACAAGCTTTCAGATAATGCTTTTTGGGCCTTGAAATGAAACAGCCCAAGATCCAATCACCTAGATTTGCACGCATCAATGCACCACAAACGTGTACAATCATGTGACGCTATGGTCTATTCATTGACCTGTAATGCACACTACGGTGCACGAGCAACATAAGCCATGGCGTGCAAAGCTGGAGGGCAAATTGTGGAATTAGCGTTATTACCGGACCAGTCAGGCTTATAACCTTGACTAAGATCAGTACGGACGCTTCTACCTCTCTTGTAAAAGTGAAGGCAAAACACGATTGTCTGAAGAATCAGTATCCGAAAAGTGCTTTCTAAAAGCTCATCCAATATATGTTCAACAGCTGAAATGTTATTTCATTGTATTTCCTAACTTTCAAAGCTATCAAAGGTAAACATATATTAGAAAAGGTACCACAAAAGACCCAATATGGGGAAGAAAATAAATCCAAAGCAAATAAAGACAAAGGAAAGGCTAGTCACAAAAAGCAGAAGAAGGGCAAGGAGAAACAAAAGAAGAGCCCCAAAGGAGAAAAGAAGTCCCTTCTGGCGTCGTCGGAGAATCTGGAGATGAGTTAAGTCTTTCGGATAATGATGTCATGCGAATGAAGCGCATTCACGACACCAACGACGACTCAACGGACGGCTGGTTTCGCCCAAGCCTGTTTCTTCCTACGTTGTCTGAAAATGAATCGACGCTGTTCCAGCTGGTGCAGGATGGTGATCGAGACTCTGTGCTCCAGTTGCTGAGAGATCAGCCCGATCTCAACATCAACTGCTGCAACTTCCAAGGCGTGCGACCGCTTCACATAGCCGTGCAGCAGGGGGATGAGCCCATGGTGGAGCTGCTGCTGCAGCAGCCCAAGATTGAGCTGTCCGACACTGTCCTCTACGCAGTCGAAGCGAATAACGAAGATCTCGTTCGGCTGCTCTTCGAGAAGATGTCCGAGGATGACCCCGACCAGGAGTTTTTCGGTTATGACTCGAGCTCACGCTTCACGCCTAACATGACACCGCTGATTTTGGCTGCGCAAGCTGACCACTATGAGATGGTGTGCTTCCTGACAAAGCGGGGACCAAGATCATCAAGCCGCACCCTCCAGACTGCTGCAAGCTAGAGTGTGCCGGTCGGCTGAAGGGCGAGGACCTGGTGAAGTCGTACCACCGGGTGCTAACGTATCAAGCCTTGACGTCTCCGTCGTACATCATCCAGTCATCACCGGACCCCATCCTGACCTGCTTCACGCTTCATCGTGAACTGGGCCGCAACATCCACCGAGAGCGCGAGTTCCGCACACTGTATGAAGAGCTGCAGCAGAAGGCCAGTGAGTTCGCGGTGCAGTTTCTGAACTATTGCCGGTCCACGGAAGAGGTAGAACTGATCCTCAGCCGCCCTCTGGGCTGCGAGGAAGGCGCGCGGCCCTTCCACTACCCTCGTCTTCATGGCCATCGACTACGGCCAGAAGGAGTTCGTCACCCATCCGAAGGTGCAGCAGGTGCTGACCAAGCTGTGGCTGGGCCAGCGGCAGGATTGGCGTCGCTACACCACCAAGAGGAAGGTGATGAGCTTCTTCTTCGCACTGCTGACTCTGCCGCTTTCTGTGCTGTTGATGCTCGTTTACCCCCAGTCTCGCCACGTTCGCTACTGGCACTCACCGATAAACAAGTGGATGAACTGGATGGCCTCGTACCTCATCTTCATGGCGCTGATCCTGCTCGAGTCGAGTCTGGACGAGATGAGTCAGTTCCGCGGCCCACCGGACTCTGGCCTCGAGCCACTGCTGGTGCTGTGGGTGTTTGGTATCGCCGCCTCTCAGGTGCGTCAGTGCTGGCGGCGCGGTCGGCGACGTTACTTCAGCGACTCGTGGCACTGGTACGATACCCTGATGACCACCGCGTTCATGGTGTCGTTCTGCTGCTGGATCTGGTCCTACTATGACATCGTCACCTACGGCAACGAGCGACTGGAGCGCAAGTTCTGGTACCAGTACGACCCGACACTGATCGGGGAGGGTCTGGTGGCCATCGCCAGCATCCTGGCCTTCGGAAGACCCTGTATCTGTTCCAGATGAACTCCAGCCTCGGCCCTGCAGATCTCACTCGGTAAGATGGTGTCGGACATCTGTGAGTTTCTGGCGATCTTCACGCTCATCATCTTCTCGTTTGCGTCGGGCATGTACCGGCTGTACGCCTACTACGGAGGGATGGAGAGACTGGACGGCTCCGGAGTGAAGACCTCCATGTCTGGTGCGTTCGTCACCCTGCACGGGTCTGTTCGTACGCTCTTCTGGGCACTGTTCGGCATGACTTCCCTCGAGTCGGTGCAGGTGGTTGTGGAGAACCTCCCCGGAGGTACGGAGCAGCTGCCTGTCATCAACAAGCACAACTTCACTGAAGCTGTCGGCTACACGTTGTTTGCCGTCTTCCATGTACTGTGCGTTGTTATCCTGATGAACATGCTGATCGCCGTGATGTCCGACTCGTTTGAGAACGTGCACGAGTTTGTCGACAAGGAGTGGAAATTCGCGCGCACCAAGGTGTGGATCTCGTTCATCCTGGAGCCGCCGATCCCTCCGCCGTTCAACCTCCTGCCGTCTGCCGTGTCGCTGTTCCGTGCCGCCCGCTGGTGCTGCGCCTGTCTGACCAGGCCGCGGGCCGCACAGCGCTCTGCTCAGCGCAGCGCTGCTGCTACATCGCCGAGGAGATCCACTTCCCGCGAGACGACCCGGCCGCCTTCAAGATCCTGATGGCGGCGCTGTCTCAGCGGTATTTCCGCGAGCGTCGAACGACGGAGGCCGGCGGCGCGGCGACACTCAGCGAGACAGCAGGTCTGAAGCGCGGGCTGATGACGCTCAAAGCTGAGCTGCGAGACCTGGCCACGCGCCTCCAGCACCACACTTCAGAAGATGAAGTCGCGAAGCAAAATGGCGCTCTAAACTAACTGTGACATCGAAAGTCGTGAGACGTCTATCTATTCAGCCACCAAGAACCACGGGATGAAATATCTCAGTGAGAAGCGTCTGTCGGCCCGTAAGCAAATACTTGTTTCGTTCTGGTGATGGCTGTGTTGTATTATTGATGAATGTGAAACGCAGATGTAATGCTCCACCAAGTGTCATGCTGTATCAAATCACGGTAGATTGATGTGTTCAACATGCGTACACCACGTGTTGTAACATAACATGACAAACCACATTTATGATGTGTGTTTTTCATATGTCGTGCATCAATGTTCAATGACATGAGGTGGCGTAATGTTTTTAGAATGAGGTTGTGAACGGATAACTCGTTTGCGGACATGTTATAGCTGCAACACGATATAACTAGCATCGTAACCGTGAAGTATATAATAGTGTATAGGGTTTACATACATATGTCAAAACCAACTATTGTCTAACGTCCGTCATTTGCATGCGTTGTAATAAAGTGGCTCACGGCGAAGTTTACTTGCAGCATCGGCCCCCCTTTCGGTGAGCTAGGCTCCTCACCCTCGTCAGTTGTCGGCCCATCAGTGCCGTGATGGGACTCCTTCTCGGTAGCTGTTCAGCAGTCAGCAGCGTCGGCAGGCTGGGGCCGTTTTTACAGCCCCAGCCCCGGCCGGACCGACCATACAATTGGCGCAATTGGCAAGGCGTTAGCAGATGGGAAAAACAAGAAACAGAATAGAAAATCCCCAAGAGGTGCAACACTGTTGTGTTTTTGTCGGGCGTCTCATAAAGGAGCCGTATTAGGTTACATAAAACAGAAAACAGTTTTTGCATTCTGTAAACCCTACTGAAGGGGTGTGAAACTGCGGCCTTTGACGAATCTGCATTTGGTCACGGGCCAAAAAGACAAGTTTTTGCAAATGCTGCATACGAAAGTAGCTCATCGGTCAGGACTTTTGTTGGCTAATGAACTGGAAACCAAGGAACAGAACGCCGTGTAGAAAAACTGCCTCCCTGGGACGCTTAGCGAAAAACAAAATTCGCAGCTTATAATCTCGGTTTTGTTACACCAGCTAATTTCACACCTTTTTCTGGGTTTACGAAACCACCTTGCGACCCAGGAATGGAAACGCTTGAGATTTCAGCAAAGGCCTCGGCTGGCTAAACTCATGGGCGCAGAGACAGACAGAGAGGCAGCTGGAGACATGCATATTAATTTCGCGGTGGCGGTCCACCTGCCTGACTCAGGGACTGATCTCACTGATGTTGGCCCCATATCTCACAGGGGTCGTGGAGAACTTATAACATTTGAATAATGTTAACAACGTGATGGATAGGTCAGTTAGATACTATGTATATACAGGGTGATCCAAAAAAATTGGAACCCCTAACTTAAAATGTCTCTAAGACAGAAACTTTTCACTTTATTGACAAATTGCAAACACCATTAGAAAGAGCGTTCAATTCTCTATAAAACCAAATTGATGGAACTTAATTATTATTATAAATATTGCCCTAGACCTATGCCTATAAAATTTGTGTCACGAAACTCAGTGAAACGGTTTTGAACATTATGCGCAAATCAGTGATTGACGGTTTGCTGTTCTGACCATGTCCCTTGTTGGAGGTTCATGAATAAAAACAGCTCATTCACGTGCTATTGTAAGGAAAGGAAAGGCTGACGGCCTGCTGGGACCAGTTGTCCCAGAGACTGCTGGTCCGCGCAGTCGGAGCTGTCCCCAAGCAACTGCAGGCCTGCGAGACGGCCCACGGAGCTCGCGTTGAGCACATGCTGGGATGAACAGCGGAAGCTAGGTCGCGTGAATCTGTTCTACTCTGTGCTTCTGTGTAAACTTTTATGTAATAAAATTGAATTTGAATGTGGAGTTATTCGCAAAAAGACAACAGATAGAGTGCTAACGGATTTCAGCGCATTGTTAACATTTGGCGATTTCGTTTCACTCAGTTTTCTTACGCTCATTCCAAAAGCTAATAGTGTGCCAATGCTTTACAACATACATGCATCAATTTGACGTGATTTTTTAGAGAATTAAATGTTCTTTCTAATGGTGTTCGCAATTTGTCCATAAAGTGAATATTTTCGGACTTATAGACATTTTAAGTTAGGGGTTCCAAATTTTTTGGATCACCCTGTATAACGATGTTTCACGGAACACTTAATACTGAACCAGCGCTAGGTCAGTCAAGATCCTCCTCCTCCTCCCAGCTCTCCGACGGACCGCAGGGAGAGCTACAGGACTGACCACTGACCAGTGACCATCGCGCTGTTGACCGACATTACAGCCGCGCCTGTCTCTCCGGCGAATGGGCCGCGGTCGTAGCCGTTTCCGCCGCCGCGTCCGGCCGTTTTACAACCGATCGTGTTCTTCTGTTTGTCCACCATCCGGCGGGCCCGTGCTTTGTGTTGCATGACACCCGCGCCGGCAGCGGAATAAATGTAAATATTTGTGACCGGACACAACTGTCCGGCCACAGACTCCAGCGACATAAATCACCACGGGGCGCGGGCGGCCGGTTCAGAGAGGCTGTAAAACCAGGGCGACCGGCGCCAATCGGGACCGACGGACGCGGCCACCTGGGCCGGTCACTATCGATTGGGTGAGGATGCCGAGCGCGCGTCCAACTCCACACAGACCCACGGCCCAGTTAGAGGCGGACGGACCAACGGCCATTCAGCAAACCCAGTGAACGTGGCAGTCCGCTGGAGAGAACGTTTATCAGTGCGGTTATCTACCACATTGGTTACCAATGCAGTGGTTTAGAGGCTTTCAGTCGAATTAATGAATGTGTGTGGGTGGCGGCTGGCTTCCCGCAGTTTTTCTTCTCGTGGACGAGTGGATGATTTAGCGGTTTGGTGGGATTGGTGGTGGTATTTGCTTAGATGTTCCACTGTGTCTTAGAAATTGTCTGAAGAAACTGGTCGGCAAATACAGGGTGTTCGCAAAAATATGTCATGATTTCGTTACGCCATTATCGCCAGCTCAAATAGCAAGGATCAAATGTCTTGCTGAAATGTGTTGCCCGGATCTTCAAGTTTTGTTATACACATGTATCAGTGCCTCATGTCAAACCGGACGCACCCCACACGCTTTTCCTACAAAGCCATTAGAATCATGACATATTTTCGCGAACACCCTGTACTAGGTATCATAAAGGAACAAAACATAAAAAGGTGACGTCTTGTTGAAGAGTAAATCAAGCGTATAGGCAGTGTCTGATCAATGCATATTCAACAAAATTCCACGGCTCAAGAAGCATAATACGAGCGCCACAATTCATAGCTACCGCGAGCATTCCTCTCAGCTTCAAAACAATTACCGGTCTTCATATATTTGCCCCGAAATAAGACAGTGACCGCGGCATAGTAATCTCACCAGATTCCATCCCTACAGAACACAATCGTCCTCAATTCACTGAGCTGTTATGGGAGACCGAGCGACGCCGACATTCCTGTGACCGTCCCCGGTCTCAGCGGTGCCGAGCCGCGCTGTACCGACTGGTGTCCAGTGGCATGGGTGGGGGCCATCGGACCACCGCCACTGCCTCCCCCCCCCCCGACGTGCCGTGCCAATTAGCCGCGACTGGAATCCACCGTGCGCCCCGGGAGGGGAGCTGGGACCGCGTCCCATTGGTGACTGGATTCCGCGGGCAGGCGTCTGTCTCCGGACGCTGCAGCACCGACAATGGCACGCCTCTGATTTACTCTGTCTCGGTAAAAACCGCCGCTGCGCCGCAGACACCACCACTGGGCGGCGATTTATGGCACTCCAGAGACGGAGGAACTGACACAGTCCTCGTCGGAGCATGCCGACGCACGCGAGTCGGCCGGAAGACCGGAAAGGGACGAGATGGGGTCCGGACAGCCGGGACGGGAAGGGAGGACAGGGTGGCTGGGGCTCGTCAGCCGCCCGCCCGCCGAACAGCAGCGCTCTCCAAGCTGTGAGCGATGCGCTCGACACAATCGGTTGCCGCGTGTTGTGTCTGTGCCGAAGAAGGTATGCTGTATTTTACTAGGCTGAATTGATATCCTGAATTATTTTGACTGCATATTTTGAGCACCAGAAAATTGTTATTTCTAAATGATATATTGCGATGCTGATTGAATGAAAAAATTCATCTTCATTAAAAGTAATAATACAATAAAACATCTCTTTTGAGTAAAATGGCTGATATCACTTATTCGAAACTGGGGTTTCAGATCATACTTCGGCTGATTAGGTTAAAACAAAAACTGCTATTGCTCACATTTGGTAGAAGGGCAAAGGACAGGTAAAAGGTAGCAGCATCTGCCGGTGGGCTGGCGGCGTGCACAAGGGTGTGCCGCCCATGTAATTGTCCCATTAGTGGACACGTGACTGCACAAGGACCAGACACCATATTCCCTCAGACGCCCCTCTGCCCGATCGAGCTTCAGAGAGAAAACGTGACCCTCCCCAGCGCCGAAATGGGCCTTACTGTCAGGATTAAAGGCGTTCAGCTCTTGTTTTTCATTCATTTTTCCCGAGAGGCCTCATTTTGTCGGCTTTGAGACGAAATCAAAGGGTCCACAGAGGTCCAGAGAGAAAGTGTCCGGTACAATTTCTTCTGAATGAAGAAGGTCGTGATACTGTTTGTATCGGTCCTAATAGCCCCACTCAGCTGTGGAGAGGGACAGGCCCGAGCCGCGGCTGCCCCAGGCGAACGGAGCGAGAGGCTTCACCGTAAGCCGTGCCGAACGACCGTATACCAAACGGAGTGAGAGAGGGATAGAGAGGGGAGAAGTTGGGACAGAGACCGAGAGAGAGAGAGAGAGAGAGAGAGAGAGAGAGAGAGAGAGGAGAGAGAGAGAGAGAGAGGGGAGAGAGGAGGAAGGGAAAGAATGACCGAGGAGGGCTAGGAGAACCAAAAGAATAGTCAACGAATTCAGTTGCAACCTATCAAAACGACTCGAGCTATCCCTTTGGAGCAACGGTACAGCTTGGCCGCATCTAACTAAGAAAAGAAGAGCATCTGAAGTGGAACCTCCCAGAGTGCACGCAGTACGGGTAAGGGGCTAGCAACTCCTAAGATGATTAAGTGGATATCAGTTTCCAGATCGGGGTCAGAGTGCCAACTTTGGAAGTGTGCGTAAGGCGCCTCAAAACTCGGGGATTTATTTACACTGATAGGATAGCTGACACTATGCTGATGGCTATATAATTGCCGACCAAGACGATTAATTACAATAAACACCTCACGGTGGCGGACACCAGGCGCAGATCGAGCCGAGATAGCCGCACACCAGCCTCCTAATTGTATTCAGATAATCCATTCTGGGCGCTTAACCGGCGTCCCAGCCTGCTAAGGGCGAGGATTGCCTTGAGCTGACGAATGCCTTCTCTCTGCTGATCCGTGGGCATCAGACCATTTCATCTTAAACGATGTATTCAAATACGCCAAATTCTATCTTAATTAGTGTGGGCATTCCGCGGTTTTTATCTGGGCTGCGGCCCGTGGCCGGCGTGTTTTTCGTCGCGTGCCACCGTGGAGATGTGATCGCCAGGTCGCCAAGGTCGCCGCAACGTGCCGCGCTGTGGCGGGCTCTCTAATGACGCGCCTTTGGGGACGCCGCTCGCGCCGGCCCACCGATCCGCCGCTGATATTGGATAAAAGCCGAGTCGCCGCGGCCGTGGGAGCTGTCTGCTCGGCAAAAAGCCGCCGGCAACGGGCGGGGAGCGCGGAAACAGGACAGAGGTGGACGTGACGTCACTGGAACGATCAGCTGACGGCCGCCAGGGTCTGACAGACGTCCGGCTGCTCCGCTCCTGGAATTCGCTGCTGCCGAGATTCTGAAGACAAAAAGCATAATGATCCAGGCTGCAGATTTGCTCGTATCATGTTTCGTGCTGAGGTGCAATTCCTCGGGTTTTCACTGAGAAGATTCGAGACCATTTTACAATTTATGAGGCTTCTGTTGAACTTTTACTGCTAAAGATGAAGTAATAATCATAAACATCGATCAAGGAATGTTTATATGCGCGCCTGTGGCTACGTCTTGATACAAAGCATAGATTTGTCTTATCGGCGTCATCCCCCAAATTTTACTCACTCTCGTGCTATCTGAAACGTTCAAAGAGGTGTGATAAATCAACACTAACCTCCCTTCGCAACATCAAGATTCAATAACCGAAGCCGTAAATGGAATTTAAGCGTCGAATGTGTCGGTCATTACAGTATTTTCAGAATTACAAGAATAAGTGTCATAAATCTTGGAACTGACTTGCGGGCACATAATCGCTGAATTCATCGGATTATATGCATGGATAAGTCTTCATTCCTGAATAAGCAAACATACGTACCCACATTGCATTTATATTTGTATAATCCAGCTAATGAGTAAAAAAGCTTAAACAGTCAGTTATGAGTAAATGATTCAGTTATGAGTTACGAACAACTTTAATCCAGTTACGAGCAGAAGTACCTATATACAGGGTGTCCGGAAATTATTTGCCCCTCCATCAGCTCGCCGCCATAATTAATAAACAAACAGCCCCCGGGTCATGGTTTATTGACCGATTTATTCCCTGCCCTGTCCTACCCATTCCCTCATCCGCTTTGGTATTCCATAGATCAAGATGTCCGGAGTATTCGCGCTGATGCTCAGCCACACCTTTCACACCTTCCTCTAAAGCTCGTTTTCTGTGGGAGCTGGTTCAATCTTGCTGAGCTTTTCCTTCATGATTCCCCATAGGTTTTCAATTGGGATTAGGACAGTGGAATCGATTTGACTTCCCGCTTCATTCCAGTCTTCACCATAACTTTAGCGCGATGACGCTTTGTCAAAGAATTTCTTTCGTCACAGTAGACACCACGTTCAGGTGCGAGTATGCGCCTGCCAAACGCCGGCCCCTGGCGCATCTCACGTGTCAAGGTCAGGTGACCGGGTTAGGTCACGTGACTAACGGACAGCTGTGGATAGTCTTAGGCACAGTTTTAGGAAATTTTCAACAGTTCTTAAAGCGCACAGTGGGTTTAGCTGAATGAATAAGGGGCACCCTTGTTTCCGGACACCCTGTAACTAAATGGAACTCTGCGGCAGAAATAGTGCAAAAAACAAAAAAATGATGCAGACGTATGCCATTCATCTCGCATCATTTTCTCCATGCACATTGCACACCGAAACACTGGCCAAAGCGCTGTTCTTCAGGCTGATACGAAACGTAAAACCCCGCTTGGTGCTAGCCTTCTATGCAGCATCCAGGTCCCTCAGCTGTCGTTATGTTCGCAGCACGCATTGAAGTCTCCAGATGCTCTTCGAGCCGAACGAACATGTCTCTGACACGCCGTCGAAGCGGCGGCAAAAAACGAGCACCAGGCCGTGTCAGAAAAACGCGGCTGCCGTTGGCTGCTGTCAGACGCGTCATATAGCGGGCGCGCGGCACGCCGTGCGCCGCGTCTGCCGCAGTGGGGCGGCGCCGGCCGGCCGACCCGCACCCCTAATTGCCGCGGGCCTGTCTGCCACCACCGGCGTGGCGTGAGATGAGGAACAGAGCGGAACTGGGCGGCGGGGAGGGGCGGTCTCCGTGCAGAGTCCGCTCCATCACCCATCGGTCGGCGTCCCACACTCGCCATGCGGGCGCCGCTGTCCGACGACAGGCCGACCAGCCCGCCTAACGAGCCCCGTCGGCCCGCTCCTCGACACCCGGTATGCAAATGTTGTGACACAGTGACATTGGACGGAGACGCTGTCCAGCGGCACCGCCTGTCAGTGGAAGGAACGGTGACTGACAGGACACAGGACAGGACAGGAGACAGGGCAAGACACAGGGCAGGATACAGGGAGGGACACAGGACAGGACAGGACCCAGGACAGGTCACAGAGCGAGACACAGGGCAGGACACAGGACAGGACACAGGACAGGACACAGGACAGGACACATGACAGGACACAGGACAGGACACAGGATAGGACACAGGACAGGACACAGGACAGGACACAGGACAGGACATAGGACAGGACACAGGACAGGACACAGGACAGGACACAGGACAGGACACAGGACAGGACACAGGACAGGACACATGACAGGACACAGGACAGGACACAGGACGGGTCACAAGACAGAACACATGGCAAGATATACGGGACCGGGCACAGGACAGGACACAGACCTGGACTGTGACCGAAAAAAATAAGAAATCAGTCAATTTCTTATTTTCATTATGAACCTACTCAACTTTTCTTACATGTTTAGGTATATTTCTGAGGTCAGGTCAGGTTCCTACCGCCTACGCATGCTGACCTGCTGAAAATAATTGGCATTCACCGCTTGATCGGGATAAATCAGGATGAGCGGCAGATTTCAGAGTCAAGTCAGCCATGTCAAACACACGATGCCCTGCTCGTCGAATTCATCGTGCTCTATAACTTAGCCACTGCCACTTATCTCAGACTAGGCTCGTAAAAAGAGCGCTAAAGCGACTAAAGCGACACGTGGGAAATCCACCGTATACCTAAAAATAATGAACACTTCAATCAAAAAATAAGAATGTAAAACATATCTTCCATACAATGTGGATACATTACAGCAGCTTAGCAGTTTGAATCAACTTGGCATTCAAATCCAGAGTAGTTAATTGCATGACGCCGCGCGTTTGCGTAACTTATTTCTACAGCCTACGAATCAGCGTGCCACAGGAACATGCAAGCCACTGCCGTCTAAGGAGCATGCGACATGGTCGATGACAAGCTCGATAGGTTCTCTCTCGTCGGCGGCGTCCCAGGTACGCCGGGCCGATCAGAGCCCACCCCGAGGCCAGTCAGAGCCAGAGCGGGCACAGCACCGGCCACTCCCCCGCACAGACGCCGCAGACTTGCCCAACCGGCATGGAAAGCTGCACCATTTGCATCGACGTGGCGGCGTGGTGGTGGCAGCGTCATCCGGCGCGCGGCGTCATCCAGCCGGCGTCATCGGTTCGTCGGAGCCCTTGACACAGATGCGGCGGGCGGACGGAGCGTCCCCCGACAGGCAGAGCGTCCCCCAACGGACAGGCAAGACTGTCCATGGGCCATGGGACGGCCGACGGAGAGATGATACCGGAGTTGTTGCTCTATCAGTCTCTTGTTAGTTGTCATGCTCCTGTTGCGCCTATCGGCTGCCAAAACAAACACAAACCCTTGAAGAGCTTGACAACTGACATGGTTATAAAAAATATTCAAATTTCGAACCGGTGCAACGGGATCGGCGATGACGATAATTCTGATCTGTTTATTTGTTTGTAGCGCTAGCGCCTTTAACCACGGTAATCCCTCGAGCATCATGAAGAATCACGGTAGCCGCCTGAGCAAATGGTCGCACTTCGCAGTGCCATTGCCAGAGAAGGACCATGATGAAACATATGTATATTTGCAGCTGTGATGCATGCTGCGCTCCAGCGTGCAAACCTACAAACGGACATCCCAGGTAAATCCACTGTTGCTCAGTGAAGGCCATGCATGAGCTGAGACAAACCAGACCCAGGACCTTCAATGCGAAGAGAGTAGAAGTCTAATTTCCGTTTTCCGTTTAAGCTATCGGCGATTTGTAAGTTTTATTTATCAATCAGAAATAAATTCCTCATTTTAGCCAAAATTCAAAATCAATACCTAAACCAAGTTCTGCTCTGTCATCAATTGTATTCTTATGCAGTAAATGCATTGGAGAAATGGCAAAGCCTGGAGCCACTCCAAACAATAAACAACAAACACGGATTTTTGCGCGAGCCCCTACTTCGGTACTGTTTTAACTTTTGAACAGGGATCCACATCGAGGAGAATCGATCGTCATGATGACTTGCAGTCCAATGCTAATTACAAGAATGCTCCAAATCGTCGTAAAAGGGACGAGAGAAGAAACTGCGCTATCAAATACACCAATCTAGAGTCACTATGTTTGACGAGTCATCATTTAAAATTTCGTTGGGAATATTAAAAGATAGCGGGTTAGCAAAGTCCAAAATCCATTTATAGCAGCCCCAAAAACTAATTAAAATCATCAATAAAAACCAGAGCTGTCACGATCTCTCGAACCGATGGCGACTAGTGACTCACGGATGCTACCGACCCGCGGCGTCGAATGCTGGCGTCGGATCAGATAACAGTGCGCCACACACGCCGCCACAGCGCCACTATTGAGCCGCGCTGTGGCGACGCCAATCGGCGCCATTAATCGTCTGATTAAGTCGGCGTCGCGGCATTGAGTGGCGCCGGCGCACGCGCCGCGCGCGGCGTGATTCAGGTGCGGCGGCATTCAGCGGCGCACGCGTCACCTGCGGCGCGCGGCGCTGAAACAGAGGCCGGCCGCGTGGGGACGCCGCCCCGTGGGAACGGCGTGCGCCCCAGGCGGGATGGGGTGGCAGGTGACAGACTGACGCCGCGCCAGGTCACTGGACTGATGGAGGCAGGTCGCTGGTCTGACGGTACCAGCCACCAGGTTATTGGACTGCGATAACGGATCACTGAACTGTCGGCAGGTCACTGGACTGACGGTGACAGGTCACTGGACTGATGGAGGAAGGCCACTGGATTGCCAGTGGCAGGTGATGGACTAACGGTGGCAGGTCACTGGTCTAACGGCGGCGGGTGACGGACTGACGGTGGCAGGTCACTGGACTGACAACGGCAGGTCACTGGACTGGGCTGAAGGTGGTAACTTACTAGATTTTCGACAGCAGGTTACAAAACGAAGGAGGCAGGTGACTTAGCGGTCGGCGGCTGTCACTAAATTGACGGCAGCAGAAAGCTGGCAACCTGGAGCACCTCGAAAGTCTGTAGGTACAATCGAGAGGTCTTGTTTGCTCTTTGCTTTGT